GCAGCTCCTCCGGGTGCGGGGTCGTGGCTTCTGCCATGCACGTACAGAGCGCTGCGGCGGGAGCTTGCTCCAGGCCTCCAGTCGCAGATTTTCATAGACCTTCGTTTCCATTCCGAGGCACGACTGTTTCTGTGCCCTGAGCTGAACCCTGAAGTTTCCATCAACAAACAGCAACATCTGCTTCGGTGCGGCGGGGCGGGGGCTCTCGCAGACCCCCCAGCCCAGCAAAGCCCATCGGCTGGCTGCCCCGTCCCCGCTGGCGGGGGTGCCACCATCCCGCACGTCCCTCCTGCCTGCGGGGGAGGCGGGGGTTGCTTTTAAAAGCGGGGGGTGTTTGGGGGGGTGGATTTCAGAGAGTTTGTTCACAACGGTCTGAACCATCTTCTGCATTTAAAGCCGTCCCGCCGAGGTCTGGCTCGTGTCTGTTAGAAACGACGGCAAGTGACTGTAGAAGCCATCAATGAGCGTCAGCAGTTTCCACACGCTTTGCAGCACTGTGATCTTGCAGCATGCGTGGGAAGATAAAATTCGGCGCTGAAAAAGCCGAGATGCAAAGAACCCCCATCAGACTTCAACGCCAGCCCAAAGAGACCATATTTTCGAGACCAGAGGCGGCCCATTTCAGAGTCCAGAGGTTACCTGCCAACTACGTACAGCCATGAACGCACCTGCGTATGCTGGGAGCGGGATCACAGTTACTAATTTTGTGTATAAACCAGGACTTTGGTATGCTTTCAAGGGCAGAGCTATGTATTGGGAAGAAAAGGTATTCAATGCAACTACCTCATTTTTTTGGGGAAGCTTCTTTTTTCTTTTTTTTTTCAAATGCAATCCAAGCACTACAATAATGGCCCAAACCTTTACAGTATGTAACACTATGCACAGGATTTACCTTCTTAGAAATACGGTTTGTCAGAAACTGATGTGTGATATGATCCCACCTTCCTCTTAAAAATGATACCAAATTCGGGAAGATTTTTTGACAGTCTTTACCTAGAAAGGTTACCCTAACTATTGCCATCTTGTTATTTTATACCTGTTAACTCCAATTATTGAAGACTGTTAGGGATCTTATTTAAAAAAAAAAAAAAAAACCAACCAAAAAAAACCCACAAGACCCTACAACAAGAAAAATAAACAGTCTCATGATTCTCAGTGAAAGATTAGGGAATCATGTTACCTCACTGCTTAAAATATTGACAAGTTTTTTTCTGATTTTTTTACACATACACACACACACAAAAAGTTTCAGAGGGTGACAGTGGGGTTGTGTTTCACTGGCCCCGCAGCCGTGCCGGGAACGTGCAGAACATCAGCGCTGCCCTGCTCCACACACCACTGCCCTTACCCATATACCAGGGCATAACCATGCTTCTCCCCAGTCTTACCCAACTTTCACAAGTTTCTTTTGAGATTAATTTGGCAAGCTGTGTTTTATTTCCAGCTCATATAACTAATTCTGTTACGCTTTAAATGCAATATTCGGCCGCAGACTGCAGGCATCGCAGTGGACAGAAAGGCTACGCGGAACAGGAGGCAGCAGCTTTTGGAGAGGTAATTCTGGGGTTCATGGCAGAAGAAAAAATTACTGATAAGCAACAAGATTCCTAAAATGGTCAAATCTTTACCATTTGTAAGTGTGCTTAGCCACTTAATTAACAAAAGGGTATTTTCAGCCCGATTTCCGTATTTGCTTTTGCTATGTTAAAATGTTGGAACATTTAAAATTACAATCCCATTCGCTTTGCATTCAGTCGTTTCTGGGGAGGCAGATGTGTTCACTCACTCTAGTAACTGATCGTCTTTTCTCATCCATAACATTTAGCATCCATACCAGAAAATCACTTTACGTTGTCATTCCTCAGATTAGAGCCAAAGCATTAGCCAGTTGTGCTCAGAAATGGCATCCAGCAGGCACTTCAGCATGAAAGTCACTTGACTGATTCGCCAAGATAATTCTTTACATGCAAATCACAGATGTCACAAGCACAAGTATTTGCTTGGAACAGCTCTTCCTCTGAGACTTAAAAGTACTTAAATCAGTTTACAAGAACAAAGCAGTAACTGCATCAGATTGCAGTGGAAATCATTGTTTCCAAATGGAGTTGAAACTCTCGGGATAGGACGGCTTATCAGTTCTCAGTCATCACTCCTATTAATGCTTTACTTGGAAGTTGCCTGAGTCTACGCTTTTAACAACAATTTAATCTCAATTTTTTTAAATTACTTTGTACTCTAAACTATACCATGCACTGGAATTTTAGAAGGTCTTCAATACTTCTGGATGCTGAAAATACACAATTGCTTTGCAATATCTTGTCAATTTGATTTTACATAATATGATATTAAGGAGAATCGTTAACTTCTGATCTACCAACAGTTGGAAATAACACTAGTGCAGCATGCTGTGCATTTTTCATAACAACCTTTAAAAGGATATTTAAGTCTTAAAAAAAAAAATAATCGTGTGCCTATATTTTCTTAGCTGCCCGCTTAGTTTCTTTACACCAAGAGAAAGTAAAGCCTGTAAGAATTACTGTCTTAAACCTGCCAGCTCTGGTGTGACCACAGCACACAACTACCTAGACATCAAGACCAGAGCACCTTCTTTTTAAAAACAGAGAACAATATACAAATTCCATATAGAAATTACACATAAGCTTTTATTCTGCTTTCTGGATGCAGTTTCTTTATGGTAACTGAGCAGATACAATACTTTGGTCAATTTTACACTGAGGGGAAAAAAAAATCTTATTTTGTTTCCATCATGTTCTGCATGACCCCATGAAAAGATAAACACTTTTCTCAAAACCAATTGAATTTTTATCAAAAGGGACATAATTCCTTTCCTCAGATAACACTGTAATCAAGTTTTATAGTCATTGTAATTAGCCTTTTTGAAGAAGAATGCTAAAAGCTATCAATTTGACTGTTTAATTGGTAAATCACTTTGCCTCTCTGGCAGACACGCCAATTCCCGCACCTCATCGCAGGAACGTACCCGTGGGTTATTTTGCCATTCAGCAGGCATACCTTGGAACGCATGCTAGCGCTGCACTGGCATAAGGATCCACACAGCAGCAAGTGAAAAATCCAACCTCCGGTACACAGCCCCAAC